TGGGTTCTTGAGCTCAGTGTAGGGAATGCCGGTAACTTCGATGCCGTCCTCGAGCTCATTGCACGTAACACCGAACTTGGCAAGCTCGTCCTTCATCGCCTTGATGCGGTTGCACTCCTTGACTCTCTGGTTGGCAATGCCAGTGATCTGAGTAGTGCCAGAGGCGACAGCGGCGAGCACGGACGCAGTGAGGAAAGCATCGGTCATGGGCTCCATATCAACGTGTGGAATGGCCTTGAGGGTGCCAACAGGAGGGCCAGTAACGGTGGTAGAGGCATCAGTCTGCTCAACGGTGCAGCCCATGGGACGGAGAACCTCAATGGCAAAGCGAGCATCACCCTGGAGTGACTTGGAGCCAATGTTGGGGACGGTACAGGTAGTGCCAGTGATCGCGGCAACGGCGAGAGGGTAGGTAGCAGAGCTGGCATCGCTTTCGACGATGTAGGTCTCGGGGTTCTTGTAGGTGCCCTGGGGGATATGGTAGGTGTTGGGGTCCTCAGCAGATCTCTGAACCTGTACACCGAACGAAGCCATCATGGCGATAGTCATGTCGATGTAGGGCTGGGAGATGGGCTTACCACCAACCAGGCGAAGAGTGACGGGCTCGCGGGCATAGGGGGCAGCCATTAAGAGCGACGAGACGTACTGGGACGAGATGGTGGCAGCAAGCTCCATGACACCACCGGCAAGGCCGCCAGCAGCATCAACCTGGACAGGCAAACTGTGCTCCTTCTCAAGGTACTTGACACCCACACCGTTGGCGCGGAGAGCATCTACAAGAGCACCGATGGGTCTCTGCTTCATGCGGGCATTGCCGGTCAAGACAGTAGAGTTGACGTCGGTAGGGTTGCAAAGAGCCACCACGGAAGTCAAGAAGCGAGACGCAGTTCCGGCGTTGCCCAGATACAGAGGGGTCGAGGTAGCCTGCAATCTGCCGCCATTGCCCTTGACGACGAGCACATCGCTATCCTCCCAGGAGAAGGAGGCACCCTGGAGCTGCGCGACGGCGTTAAGCATGACCTGGGTGTCGTCGGAATGGAGCAAGTTATAGATGCGGGTGGTACCCTCACCAAGAGCAGCCAGAGTAAGGGCACGGTTGGAGATACTCTTGGATCCAGGGGGGGTGACGCTGACTTTGAGATCCTTGGGCACACCGGCGTGGACCCTGATGCAGGGAGTGAGAACAATGCGAATGGCGCGGTCCTCGACGACGCTGGCCTTGGGCTCATAGGTCTTTCCGATGGCGGAAAGCAGGACAATCTTCTTCTTGCGGCCCTCGTTCTTCTTGTCAACGGCCATCTTCTGGAGAAGCACATCAACGGGGCACTCCTTTCCAGCAGTAAGCTTGACGATGCGCTTGTCCTGCAAAGAGGTGGGCAGATCGTAGCTGGCAATGCACTTGGTCAGGCGAGCAACGGCGCTGGGCTTGAGGACGCCGAGGAAGCGGGCAAGCTCGGCTTCCTTGACCATGCCGATGGCAACGGCCTCGCCGTGGAGGACCTGAGGGGTCAGGATAGCCTCATAGGCATGACCAATGGAGTGTCCAAAGTTGAGCAAGTTGCGGAGTCCGCCTTCTCTTTCGTCCGATGAGACAACCTCGGCCTTGACACGGGCCGAACCGAGAACGATGCGCTTGAGGATGTCGCGGATAGGGGCCAGGCGGTCGGCCGACTTGTTCTTGGAGCGGACGGCCTCGAGGATGGCCTTTGCGTTCTCTTCGAGGGTGGTAAACTCGCTCTCGTCCCAGATGGCGGCGGTCTTGATAACCTCGGCCATCCCGTTGATGAACTCGCGCACGGGCAGGGTGTTGAGGAAGGTGAGATCGATGTAGATGCGCTCGGGCTGCCAGAAGGCGCCGATCAGGTTCTTGCCCATGGGCACGTCAATGGCGGTCTTGCCGCCAATGGAGGAGTCGACCATGGCGAGAAGGGTGGTCGGGACCTGGACGAAGCGGACGCCGCGCATAAAGGTAGCAGCAACGTAGCCGATCATGTCGCCAATGACGCCGCCGCCGAGGGCAATGATGACGGTGTCGCGAGTGCATTGGTGCGAGAGCATCCAGTCCTCGATCTCGGCCTTCGTGTCGCGGCCCTTGGAGTACTCGCCGGGAGGGATGGCATAGGTAAGAAGGCGGACATCTTGGGGGGCAGCCTTCTCGAAGACAGATTGGAAAGAGGGGACGTAGGTCGCGTAGAGGTTGGTGTCGGTGATGAGGATGTAGGTGGAGGACTTGATGTTCTGGAGGAGGTCCTGAGCGACAAAGTTCAGCCAGATACCGTGGTCGATGATGATGTTGTCCTTGCCCAGGATGTTAATCCGGGTAGGATTAGAGCTGGACTCAGCCATGGCGAAGGCTTCTGGACCGTGACGGCAGCGACTGCAGTGAGTGCGGACGGCGGTGCAGGTTGATTAGGGGCGGTGGTTAGACTGAGAGCCGCATAAAGCCAGAGAGTGTGGCGGCCACCTTGCGGGATGGTGGGGCAATCAATTGCTCGATGTTCGTAAAGTGGAAGATGTGGAAAGATTGTGTATCAAGATATCTCCCGCATACAGGAGCTTGGACTTGGTGGTGAGGGGGAAAAGACAACAACGCAAAGAAAGTGGAAGCTGGAGAAGGAGGCCGGAAGGGAAGCTGTGCGCTGTTCCGAGTCTCCTGCTGTGCGGTTGCGGTCGCCGTGACTCAATTCTCCAAACAAGCATCATCCAAAAAATAGAGCGGATCCATTGAAGCTCCTTCCCGCTTCCGAAAGCGGAGTGGAGGTTGTCGTCAGGTACCGGGACCGGGGCTCAAAAGTACCTCGTCAGCTCACCTTAACTCAACCTCATTACCAGGCGCCATTCGCCCGCCAATTATCTCCTTGTGTGAAACAGACAAGTTGCCAAGAGGATATAGCAAATCCTCCTGGTACTTGCCATACTCGGACGCTTTACCCCCGGCGGGATCGCGGATGATGCCCCTCCTTTCTCTCTTCCCGTTCCCTTCCACAGGGACAGCTTCACGTCTCACAACATCACCTTAACACGACTTCCTCTCACAACTTTTTGATTCCTCACGGAGGATCCGAGTTGTTATTCTCACCGCCATTAATAACAACAGTCTCACGAAGTTCGGAGTACACTGTTCCCTCCGGCGTACATACAGCTCTACCTAATCCCTCACCTTTGTTTTGCGCTTTGCAACGTCAGAACCACGTCCATTCTGACGTTTGCTCGGAACCCCCGCCGCCAAGGAGCCATGATCTGAGGTCAAATAAAACAATGAAGGTAAAATATTACTGTAAGTATTGTCCAGCTATAGCTTCATCTCACTTCACTTCAAAAAGTAAACAAAAGTTCTCTATCGCGCCCAGCTCACAACGCGCTCTCACGCATGCTCCGCTGATAGGCAATTTCCGCGCTTGTTGTCTTTAGCCCTACGAATGATCGGACAACTACCTACCATCGTGTCTAGAACCTCAGGCCCCCTGTCATATGTATCACTCGCCATTCATCAAGCGTAACACTTCCTCCATCACATATGAACGAACGCGAACTGACGCGCTAGGATGCCTTCAAACCCTCCTTGTTCCAAACTGGACCTTACCTCTCTGACCGAAAGCTCAGTACGTTTTCCGTGACTATCTTATCTAAATCGGGACCTCGTTTCTAACTACTGTCGCGGTTGACCACAGAATCAACATAGCAGCTAGGTAGCCGGAGATACATGAAAAACTGCCTCGTCCGACGGCCTAAACACCGACTCTTTTTTTGAAGTAATGGAGCGTCAACACCAACAGTTCAGCGAGTCGGTGACCAAAATCTGAAGACACTCACCGTAATTGGACCTTTGGAACCAGACGACCGTGAGACGCGCCAAATCATCGCCGGCCTCTCTTTCCGGGCACTGCCTCTGATTTCAGCAAAAAGGGGTACCAAGAGCCGCTCCGCCACGAGATCGGACACGGGCAGCCGCTTGAGAGCACTCCAAGCCGTTCAGCGACCATCCTATACTCTTCCAACTCTTATCTCGAGGGAGAGTGAGTCCCAAAGAGTATAGCATGCAAAGGAGTTTTATCCTCGACGCAACTTCTTTCTCTCCTACATCACCACCCTAACATCCGACATGAGAGCTGCCCCTCTTTCCTGGGCCCGGGCAAAGGCTATGATGGTAAAAACAGTAACCAAGAAAAGAGCGGCAGTGGAAAACTAACAAGAGGTAGAAAACAATCAGCTAAGTCCAACTGCGTCTGGGTTCTTTTTTTTTTTTTTTTTTTTTTTCGTCTCCCCGAGCCCTTTTGTAATCAACCCCTCAATAATCTCCGTCCTCCTCTTCCGAACCATCATCTCCTGAGTCTCGAGACTCTGTGTGAATTGTCACTTGCAGACATGACAGACACTTTCACCCTTCTCTCTGCTTCTTTCCATGGTCTGAGTCGCAGATTGGATAAGGTAAGTGTCCGGCTCTGTGCTTACTTGAGTCCAAAGGATAATGACAGTAAGGCCGATAATTGCCTTGCGGCGGTAAATGAGATATGCCAAGTCGGCGACTGCGTAGTCTCGGGGTGTTGCTTTGGGGCCACACAACGAGTGAATATTCCGAGAGCCAGTAATACGCCCGGTTCGCTGAAAGGGCAGGCTTAAACTCGTCGATTTCCGGTTGGCATCTCCAGATGAATAACATTTCATAATACAGTTCACGAGCAGAGCCAAGATGTAGTGGGGCTGAATGTAAGCGTACACATCAAGATCTATTGTATGTGTGCTATCAAGAATACAAAGTCTATTCCATAGACCCCTTTGAAAAACTCCAATTACCGCGAATAACTATACATTTCATCATCCTTTCAAATCTCATTACCACAACTAAGCCATGCAGTTCATTATCCTTTCAAACCCCATTAGCATGACTGACCACTGCATTACTTTTTCGTGCGTGTCTAGTCATCATTTTTTTTTCCCTATTCGACTCTCACGACCTCTGGGGTCGCATCAGAGCGAGAACCGTTCCTCTTGGACGCATTCTAAGCGTCGCCGTGGGTTGAGGTCGTCGCAGATCCACTGTGAATCTCAGGCTTCTCCTCGTGATCACGCTGGCCCATCTGGCCACCAGCCTGCCAGCGGCTTGAGTGCCTAGGGCTGACCTTCTGCTCGTACATCGTCTCAATCTCCTCAAGAGTGCGATCCTTGGACTCGATCACAAAGAGCCAAACGAAAGCAGCGAGGGCAAGGCAGCATCCGGCGAACACCAGGCCGTAGAAGTAGCCAATGGAGTCAGTGATGGGACGCGTGAAGAGGGACATGAGGAAGTTCCACATCCAGTTGGAAGAGGTGGCCAGGGCCATGGCAGGAGCGCGGTAGCGAGCAGGGTAGAGCTCGGCAACGACAGCCCAGACAAGAGGACCCCAAGTGGTGGCGAAGGCGACGATGAAGAAGCACGAGAAGACAATAAGGACGTTGCCGGCCTCGGGGGTGCTGGCGGGGTTGACGGGGTCAAGCACAAATCTTCCGACGAAAGAGTAGATCAGGAAGCACATGGTCATCCACAGGGCACCAGCGATGAGAGCCTTGCGGCGGCCAACATTCTTGACGACCCAGAGACCGGCGACAGTGCATCCAACGTTGACGGAACCGAGAATAATTTGGGTAACGTAAGAGTCTTCCAAACCGGTGGCCTTGAAAATGGTGGTTCCGTAGTAGAAGAAGAAGTTGGCACCAGTAAGTTGCTGGCCAGACTGAAGGATGATGCCAATGAGGGTACGGCGCAGCAGAGACTTTCCGAAGATCTCGTACCACTTGGTGTCGGCACCAGCCTTCTCCTCCTCGAGCTTGATACGAATCTCATCGATCTGGATGTTGACGGAGCGGGCGGTGGGCTCGAGACCGGCAAGGCGAGCAATGGTGTTGCGGGCCTCGTCAACGCGACCAACACGGTAGGCGTAACGGGGAGACTCGGGAAGGAACAATATTCCGCCACCCAGAACCAAGGCCCAGAGGAAGGAGATACCGTTGGGAATACGCCAAGAGCCAGAGTTGGTAAGGTCGTGAGTACCGTAGTTGATCATCTCAGCAGTCCAGATACCGAGAGTGATGAAGAGCTGGTAGCACGAGACAAGGATACCACGGAGAATGGCGGGAGCAGACTCGGACTGGTACATGGGGACGACGACGGACAGGGCACCGATACCAACACCAGTGACAAGACGACCGACCGCAAACTGGGCCCATTCCGAGGTAGAGGTGATCTCAATGATTGTTCCGATGCAGGAGAAAAGGGCGGACGCAGAGATGGCGATACGGCGACCAAGGGAATCGGCAATCTTGCCAGCAACAAGCGAGCCCAGAAGGGCACCAGCAGGAAGCAGCGCGACGATGACACCTTGTCGGTAGGCTTCGAAGACATAGCCGTTCCCGTCGTGGTAGTTGCTAAACCGGCGACCGAAGTCTGGCATATCGAAGAAACCGGAAATTTGACCACTGTTGTCCATAAATGATCAGCAACCATGTACCATGGTGATGGGGCAACAGGGGTACAAGGGAAAGGGGAAACGTACCTGACGTAGCCAAACATGAAGCCACCTACAGAGGCGACGACACCAAGAAAGACGGCACGGAAAGTGACCTTCTGCTCAGCAGCGAGGTCGATCTCATTTTGTGTTTGAACTCGCGGCGCAGGCGCAGCCGACTTTTTCGAGAAGAGACCCATCGTTGTGATCGTAGTTGTATTTATATCCTCGAATCTTTCATCCGTTGTTCGAGATCTCTGTTGGGTGGAGAACGGTGGCTGAGAACAGCGAGTGGTAGTAGATGGGATAGCAGATCAAATATCGACACACTCCAACGACCAGACAGTGTATAGTAGATGGTTGACGGCAGGAGTGTGAAACCTTTTGAAGGTTTTGATGGAGGAGTGGAAGATGTTGGAAGAATGGAGACTCGAAAGAACACGAGAGGGGATTTAAAAAGAAGTAGAAGTGCGGATTGGGCCTTTCATTTATGTGTCTCGAGTTGCCATCGGGGCCCCAATTGTTGGATGCTTAAACCGGGGAAAGAAGCAGCTGCGAGTCGGTGAATTGAATGACCTAGAAGCTGGGGATCCATCGGAGCCGACCCACGCATGCATGTCTAGGAAAGGGCGATCGAGGTTAAAGGAAGCAGGGAAGGTACAGAGGTACCTATGGCAGAAGACCAGACCCCATCGACATATGTCGGGTCGCGAGCAGCCTGGACGGGGGGAAGGAGAGGGGGGTGTGCATCTCCAACGTCTCCCAAAGAACGGGGTGCTTGTGGGTGCGGGAGGTGGGCGCGGGGTGGTCGACTGGGGATGCTGATGCAATGCACAAAGTTACGGAGAAGGTACCATCTCTCCAGCTTGCTCCCACATCTCGCCCGTCTGGAGATATCCCCGTACCTTTTGCCCACATTACGCTAAAAACTCTTCTGCACACTCCCCCAGAGGGAGCCGAAAGGACCGGGGATCGGGCACCGTTAAGCTGTTACATGACCGTGACGTGAAAAGTGCTGCGGTTCCCGTCTCGGCCCTTCCGTTTCCATGGGGTAGACGGACGGCCCGACTGCTGTTTCCTTAAACGCAAGGCTTCCCTTCGACTGTCTTGGGGAGGAAGACATGTTCTCAAGGGCTACCAGTCCCCCTTTCCCCTTGATTGAACTCTGTCAGCCCGTTGGAGTGACTGTGGTCCAATTTCTCAACCAGCGCCGAACCTCGCTTGAAACGTTCAGAGCGTAATAAGGTGAGGCAGGTACCTACTCTTTGTTGGTGTTGCACTTGCATGCCTCCTCTTTCCTGATTGAGGCCAAAGCGCAAGTGCCACCAAAAGGAGCACGCCACCAACGAATCGCAAAGCGCGGTACAAAGCGGTTGGTGCAGTTGCCACATGTTATTCCGGGCGTGAACCTTCAGTTTGTTGTACCAACACAAGGCATCTGGTGAGATACCGCAGTTCGGCAGGTTACTGCAGAATAAAACCGTGATGGTCATCTGGCGTGAACAAGCAGCTTGCCCGATGCCTCATGCATCTGATGCTTTTTTTTTTCTTTTTCGGAGAGGAAATGTGAGGGGGGTCTGGGCCAGATTCAGTCCACTGCAGAGCGAGAGTGCTGCCATGAGCAATGTGGGAAGGAGTGCTCACCATCAAAATCAGACGCCCCGTTCGGACGCCCGTTGAGGACATTCAATGTTACGGAGCTGCAAGAAGTCTAGTGCCGTCATTCATGCTCAAAGGGTACAATCCCTGGTCGCCGGTATGTGCAGGTAAAGGTAGGTAAGGTACGCCCTGGCTTGGACTTTTTCGCCCGCCAACGTTTCTTCCAGAGCTTTTGCAGTTGCAGTTCTGGGATGACGTCGACAACCCTCGAGTTCATGAGCGGACCCTAAGGCCTTGGCAAAAGGTACTGCAACCAAACAGAGCGGGTATGTGCCGAGATGCGGCTCCTCTCACCCTTGAAAAGCAGAAACATCCAACGAGGGCCAAGACGTCAACCGCTACTGAGCGGCCTGCCGCGGCGCTAAAACGTTCAGGGGGCACAGCTCCAACCCAAAAGAAACTTCATCCCGTGAATGATCGCCACAACCTCGTGAAGTGTTACAAAGCGGCCCTTTTTACGCTTCAAAATGGCAGAACCCCCCAGAAGAACCGATGATTTTGACTGCGAACTGCTGTAAGGGGCCACGGTTCCTTCAGTTCGCTGGGCTTCAACTTTGGAAAAAAAGGGACCAGTGACGTTGAATCGTACACTAGAGTCCCGGCACAACAATCCGAAAAGATGAACAGATCCTGCTGAACCTCATCCAATCTCCGGTCGCATTGGGCCTTACCCACCTGCACTTGCAAGATCCCGGATGGGGCTATCTCCGCTAGGCACATCTACAAAAGAAACCTATTCCACTTTGAAGATATCTGAACTTACTGCTCGTCCTGGATCTTACAGAAACGGGCCATCGAAATCCCTCTGACCGTGGTAGTTTCCACCAGCATGCAAAATAAACGGTTGCGTCAATTACAGTTCGGCCAAATTAAAGCCCTGTATCGCACCCAGTTCATGGAGCAGGGACGAGAGGATACCGAGGATACACCGTTTCCAGAGATATGGGTTCGGTCTTCAGCTTGGTTCACACGGTCAGACGTCGGTGTCAGGGCCACCAGCCAGGGTTGCAAGCTGGACGAGAAAAACCACCAAGTTTTCAAATGCAGATACTACTGAAATGGTGAAATTTGAAGGTTGAGGTTACTCTAAACTGCCTCAGAGCGAGACTGTAGCACCTTGAACACGTTGTCTGGTGCGTTTGTCATACGGGGGCTAACTCGCTAACACTGGGCTTCCATCAACAAACCCCCCGGGGATCCAACGACGCCATGTGCCGTGGCACTCAAGACACTCGCTTCGAGTTACTGCCGACCCGACGTTGTGCCATGATGCCGGACTGAATACAGTTAAGAAAATTCGGTACGGTCTCGTGTCCAGTCTGGTCCTTCGTAATACAACGTACGGTAACAAGACGGTCAGTTATTGTGGAATGGTGGATCGCAAAACCAGACCGTTTCCAACCGACCACCATGACCATGGCCAAACTAATTGAAAAAAGGGCCGTCTTCCTTCCATCAAAAATGCAAAGCAGTACAATGGCTCCATCTCATCATAGAAGGCCCGCCAAAACACCGTCCAAGCCATGGTATCCTGCCTGCGCTGCAGTGCTGACCTTTTGGCATACTCGCCTAGCTGTTGCAATGCATTTGAAAATCATCTTCCCACAGAGCATCTGGACTCCTGCCACTGGATTGTGACCGTGATCAGCCACAAGCGATTGCAACTTGCTCGGGAGAGGTGACTTTCCCGAGCCTGGGCAGTAACGCACTTGCAGTGCCGGTCGGCGCCGTTGCCGGTCAGTTGTAAAGATGGTGGCATGACGGTGATCTTACCACTGCCGGTCAACAATCGGTCAAGCCGTATCGCTATTCCCGCGCAAAGTGCCGGATTGCCAGGGGGAGATCACCCAAGATCGGCTGGCCATTGGAAAAGTGGGAACGTCCGGATTCCTATCCAATCATGAAGCTCGCATTCGTCAAGGGGCAGCAACTTTGCTGTCGTTTTCGCGGCTGTTTCGAAGCGGCTGACAAACATCTGGAAACCGCATCGAAGGAGGCAAAAACAGACGCCCAATTCGACATTTCCATACCGAGAACTTGGACAGCCGCCGTGCACTTGCTTTGGGCTCTGCTTTCTCGACAAGACTTTTTGCCGCGAAATCCTTTCCCTTCATTCTGTTCGTCTCCTGCTGACTTTTTGCAAAACAACATGGCCTGAGCTCACTAAGCTCTGCGCTCCATCGGTGGAGACCGAGGCTCCATCGATTGGAGACCCTTATCGGCCCGTCTTCAGTGCCAACACTCCCAAAATCAAGAACACCGAAGAGTTCCGTGAGCATTGTGGACTTGACAGTCTCCCAGTGGAAAGTCGCAGCCTCGGAACATCCACCACCTCGTCGTCGAAAAAAACGCAAAAACGGAGTGCCTTGCCGGGGGGGTTTCTCGATTTCGCCGCCGATGTGGTGTCTCTTTTTTGAACTGTGCTGACGCCCGTCCACCATCCGCCTGACCATACCAAAATTTCTCTCAACGCCCCGGAGTGCGGAGACCCAATGGAATCGTGTCGTCGTACCTCCGCCGGCTCGGGAATTGTTGTGCCTCGGTGATCGGGGGAAAGGGCGAGGGCCGCTAACCGGACTGCGCTGTGCTGCTGCTGGGTGTGATGTACCGTTTGCGTCGTCGCACCCCCTTTTCTTTTCGGACCTTTGGGTTGTGGGGGATTGTCTGTTTCTGCTCCGGGCTCAGGGGGTAGCTCAAGATACGGAGTCGGCAGCAATATGGGGATGCGATGGGGAGTGGTGAGATTCTCGGACCTGGAGTGCTGGAGCTCGAGCTGGAGTACTGGAGATGCGTTGGAGCCGGAGAACGGGGTGTTCGAGAAGCCCAAAGGGGCCTCTTGGATCGCTGCGGGATGTTGGGGAAGCTGGGCGCGGAGAGAATGCGAGTGTATTCGTGGTTCACCTTCAGAGTCGTTGGCGATTGGCTCGTGCGTTTTTCGTCATTCCTTCCATGTTGCGACTGCGACTTTTGCGATTTTGACGGGCTCAACGAGCATCACTTCCCCGGGTGTCACTGCTTCACGCGAAATAGGGCATTGCAATCACTTATACTATTGAGTGTTCCAGGCACGACAATGTCACGGACCGAGGAAGAGTGCGTAGCTGTTACCGAGTCGGCTGTAGGATAAACAGCTAGCTGTGCTCTGATTGGCTGGGTATTTTGGATAAATAGAAGCATTTAACCGGAACGTGGTCTCGTGAGCATCTTCCAAGAGCCCAGATCGAAGAAAAGGGAAGCAATTTCCTTGTGAAAAGTAAATTGAGGCTCTGCTGTGGACTCCAACGTCATTTGCACGCGAGTCGCACACTCATTCAATCATTTTCTGGCTTGCAATCACAACCTCTTCTTTGCATCATCCTCAACTCTCACAGCATTTCACGCTTCCAACTTTCTGTTTTTGGTACCCCGCGAACTTCACCCGCAACCTTGGAATTGGCACGATGTACCGCTGGCCCGTGTCCACTTTGGACCATTGCGCGGGGAAAGCGAAAACGAGGGGAGAAAGTGGGTTCTTTTGCGCCGTTTTCCAGCCAAAAAAACACGCGTGAAGAAGGTATGGGGGAATTTCAGAGGGGCGGCCCTCCCTCCCTTGTTGCTGCCGGCTGCCGCCCGCCGCCCACCACCTCCGTGCCCTTCCCCGGGCCCTTCTCCACGATTCGGCGACACGCACGCGCGCGTGATGAGGGTCACTTTCGTCACACAAGCTGGAGGGTGTGTGCCATTTTCCTCGCCTCTGCACCAAAAATGCGGAGCACCTGCGCCTCACACCCCCCGAACGGACTGCACACTGCCACGCACCCAAAGTCACGTCGGGGGTCAGTTGGGCTTGCGTGCGTCTCAGACCGGGCCTCGTCAAAAACAAAACTGAGATCTGCCACGTGTGGCCGCCAGTTTGTCTATGGTGTGCGTGCTGTGCATCGTGCAGTCTGTGCTGCAACACACGGCATCCCCACGGAGTCCCCAGAATCCAAGAATCAGGAGAGTACCCCTTCGCACTTGCTTGGTTCTGATGATGAAACATGTTGCCAGAACCAGGATCTCAACGGCGTCGGCTGGGTTTCGGGGCTCCGGTGATTGTTCGGAGCAAACCACCGGCGTGAGTATCAACGACATCCTAACGTTCTCAAAATGTGTCCTTTTTTTCCTTCACTTTTTGTTAACGCAGAGATACAGGTAAAACGTCGATTGTTGCTGCGCAACAACTCCGAAAAACGCAAGGTTTGGGCATTTGATTTTCCACCAAAAAAACACGAGTCAAGTTTGACTTAATTGCAAGTTCGTACGTCCGATATCGGCGCCGCTTCCATTTGCTATGGTCCGATGCTGAATCACAACCCCCATTGGGAAGCATGGAATCGGTGCTTGAAGAAAAAAAAAAAAAAAAAAATTTAGAGAGAGAGAAAAGAAGCTGAAGGAACCGGAACTCAAGTGAGTCCGGTCCGGTCGTTCTCTTCTTCAAAGTGTGGTCGGCAACCTGGAACGCCTGGGCTCCGAAATAGCTTTGGAAAAGGTCATCGGCGCATACTGGGAAATTAGTCTGCCAAGACAATAAATCACGGCGTACTGGATTCGAAATTCAGCCCAGTGGAGCACCCAGACTGTCGAGCCATCGCTCTCTTTCACGTCCAAGGAACAACGACGGAAGGATGGTCTCGAGATATTAATCACGACCACGATCTAGGTATGCGTCACGTTTTTTGTACTTCGGCCTGCCTCACGACCAACCGCCAGGAACCCTTCCGAGACCATATCCAGGTTGTCGGGCCCGGAACATGCTTCAAGTCTGGGGACGGATATCCCCGGATCCCCAGACTCCGACCC